GAGTCTCACCCTCTTGTTCCTCCCACGCGGTTTTGGTGAGCTAAGAAAATGTTTATCTCCCTGAGCTTGGCTTTCATAATCCCATTCCACCACAGAAGATCTGGATTTGAATTCCCATTTGATCATAAAGCTCAGAGGGTCGCTTTGGGTCTGTTATTGGCTGCTTGGAGTTCCTCATTATGCTAAGCCTAATGTTCCTTTCCTTGCGGTTAGCACCATGAGTGAATGCAGCTGTCTGTAAGCCATAGCATATAGTTCAGTGCTGTTCAGGAACCAGACCATCATGGTTCAAACAAACCACCATTTAGAAAAACATGAAGTTGGCCTTTACCTCTCAGCCTAAACTCCCTCATAGCATTGTTGGCATGGATAAATGAGACGGGGGAAAGGAGACAGAAAAAGGACAAGACATAAAAGTAATAAACACCTAGGCATTCACAGGAAGGGCAAGGGTGCAAATGGCATGTGTCATGACAACATTACCCAAATGACCTGACTAACATGCTTGCATTGGATGTTGTGATGTAGAAAGATGTGAATACCAAGTTGTAACATGTGCACAATGAAACCAATGGCACACCGCTTGTTATGTATCCTGCTGCATCAAACGTTAAACAAAAATACAGATATACAGGCAGTGCTAATCCAATTTACCTGCTACTGAGCGCCACCTATAATAATGATTCCCTCTTACCATATTCCACCACTTCATTGTATTGTGGCTTTCCATTTCAGATGGAGTCACAAGCTGCGACATCTCCAAACTGCAACCCAAGATGAGAACAGCAAATCGCACAGTAAATGTCACTGTCTTGATTTAATGCAATCATCTGGGGAGCATGGTATTATAAGCATCATAATTTGTCATATCAAGCCCCCATCGCTTACTACAGCTGCCCTTATGACAGGGTTTTCATGAGCAGCGATGTTAGAATTAGAAGCAAGGAACAGAGAGGTGGTAAAACAGGATGAGAAATCCAGAACTGCCAGAGCAAAGAACTCTGTAATCAACGCATGAAATCAGTTGAATTTGTTTTCTTTGGACAAGAGAAAAGTAGAGACTCAAGTGGCATCTTATCATATCTACCCAGGAAATTTCCCACTGGAAAGCAGGTTGACCCCAAATTATTGGCTTTCTGTAAGTGTTCAAAAACGGAATTGTTTCAGAAATCCTATGGAGGAGGAAATGTCCTGTTCAGTTGTGTTGTTATTGTTGTTTTATTTTATATACTTTAATTTAAATTATGGATGTTTTATTGTACTTCCATTGTATTGTTGATTGCTATATTGCAACCACTGAGAGGTGATCAATCTATCAATCTACAAATGCATTGGAATCAAGCAGGTAGTTTGCCAGAAAGAATTTAGCATAGAACACAAGTCTTAAAGTTAAAAATCAAGGCTTTGCCAGTGAAAAAAACTCTGTACTTGTAATACCCTATGCTTGTGTTTAAACCTAGCTGTGGACTATATTTATTTATATTTTATATTTTGCATTTAGACACCACCCATCTCATGAGGTAGTGAGACTTTGAAAGTGATACTACAACATATTGTGTTATAGCACAAACCATAGTTTAAAAATCACAAGAACTGGGTTGAGCTGTAACTTCATTTATTTGGTTTTGGTTTAGCAGATGTATGAACCAGGCCAAGGTGGCTTGTCCAACAATCCATGGTTAAACCAATCATAGTTTATATGGACCCTCTACACCTATCAGTGGTCAGATGAGTACGTTGTTCTATAACAAAGCTAAGCAAGTTTTTATCCATAGTTTGCTGAACAAATCATAAATAACTCTGTTAAAACAGTGTGCTAAACCATAATTTATAACCCAGAACAGCTGGTTTTATAGCACACTACTATATTGGTTAACTACTGTTTACTGAATTGCCCCAATTGGTTGGAGTCACACAAGGCACCAACTATGTTCATATAATGTGCTTACCCATAGTTAACTGAACCATGGTTCACTCGAGCCCATTTTCTGAGTTTGCATGACACAATGAACTATAAACTAAGCCCATGGGCTGGGTTGGGCCAGTGCCTGAGGTTGAAACACTGTTGGCTTGTTTGTGGTACAATGTGTTAAGTAAACCCAAACCTCAAGCCAAGTTACTGGGCAACACCCCCAGGCTCCAAACTAAATGAACCATGTTAATGCTTAGCATCAAGTCTAACCCCTGGTCTATCTATTCCCTTCCAAGCACAAGAGGTGCTTCCAGTACCAAATGCCAAAGAGCAATTACTGAGAAACTTTCAAAAACTGGGTTGTTTCGGAGGGCCTGTCTTTGAGTCTAAACCGGGTGCCACCTTGCTTTCCATTTCTTGTTAATTGTTTCTTGTCACTTTGGGGCCATTAGGTTTCTAGGGGAGGCTAACGTTGTTTTTATCGTTTGAGTGGCTTGATGGGTTTTAACCTCACGGTGGATGTTTTCCTTTTTATTTATACAGCTTGTGAGCTGATGAGTGTCGTTCAACTGTGGCGGGGTAGAGATATGACAAAGAAGTATATAAATTGCTCCTCACGACCTCCTTCAGAGCTTCCCAGCAGCATCAAACCAGCCACTGTGGGAAACCAGACGCGTGAGCCAAAATATTTCAGGTTTGATCTACAGGATTCCTCCTGCATTTTTCAGATCATGCCAAGAAACTGAAATGCAACCAGATCCACCATATGCTAGGCATTTTTATTATTGGAGATTAAATACGTTTTCAGTGTCCAGGAGAGAGAGAAAACGCACTTCTCCAGCTGTCCCCGCAATGTCTGAGTAGTCACTTCACCAGTTCTAATTCTGTGCTCCTGCCTCCCTCAACCTCCGCTTCATCTCTTTTGCATGTTCGTGGCTCTTGGCTCTGTTGGCTTCATACTGGAAGGAAAAGAAGGCAGGAAATGAATCACAGATCAGCCATAGCACCACACTTAAAACACAGCAAGGTTTATCATCTGGGAAGCGAATACATATGGTTGGAAGAAAAAGTTACACGTGGACAGGCAAAACATAAGCAAGCAAAGAAGTATCAAAAATTCCACTTCGGTCATTATTTGATTTACATGCTTAGTTGTTTCATTCGGTTGAGGTTACTCTGAGCATTCAAAAGCAGGCAACAAATTTGCTCTTTTCCAAAGCATCATTTGCTTCCCTAAGACTTCATGTGTAGTTAGTTCATATACTTTTAAACCATGAGGACTAGGACCCATTTACTGCAAAGTGAAAGCTATACCAGATAGAATGCCAGAGGCAAAATCAGCAAGCATGCAAAGTTAAAATGACATCCATGTAATGTTTGAAGAACCAGAACGTAACAGTGGGGTAGAGATTATATCCTGATAGCCTTGGGCCACAGGTGGCTGGCAAATCTTCTCCCAAAGTGATCCAAATTGTGAAAAAAGGGGGAAATGATTATACACATGGGATACAGTCCTAGTACCTGTAATTAACAAATTAATTACATTGGTATTTATTGGAAACTAAATCAAAGTTAGCTTTTGTCCTGGCCTGCTTACTTTTTGGAGTGGGGTATGCCATTTAGCCTGGAAACTCAGAGCAATTCTCAATCTGGAAAGAACACTGGGGGGGGAAGGCTGGGAACTCACTTTTGGACAATGGGATCCCCATTCATAGGTATGGTTAAGGGAGTGCATCTGCATAAACCAAGAGAGAGGGGCATGATCTGTGTTGTCTTCAGAGCTCTGCACTGGCCCACTTTCATAAGGAACAAAGACATTTTAGCCCTGGAACCAGTTTCATGCTCAAACTATGGATGCAATCATCTTGTCTGCTGGATGTCAATTGGGGAATGATAGAATCTGGAAGTCTGAGAGATCTAAAGGACATCAGCTCAGGTGTCTGGTACAAGCCACAATGTTATCAGATGTGTTGTGACATTGTCATGCCAAGTAATTACACAATTTGCATAATTTGTGTGACAACATCATGATGCATATGATATCTCTTGGCCCCAGTAGATACACTTGGATCCCAGGTTTGGTAAGCTGACAAGATTGTAAGTATCCCCATTTCCCACTTTTTTGCAGTGCCTTACCTCTTTCTTTAGGCATTTCCTCATTTCTCTGTCAATACCATTGCAATGGCCAAAAAATTTTAAGACAGAATGCTGGTAGGAGAAAAAAAAAAGGTTATATAGTAACTCTGATGGTGTTAAAAAAAAAAAAAAAAAGACCAAAATAATATTCTAGAATCTCCAGTATTGCTTCTTCCTATGCCAAAAGTGTTTTTTTTTAATTAAAGTGTTCGGTTATCAAGTAAGAATAGAAGCAAAGTCATGGCAAAATCAACATCCAATATTAAATCATTTAAAAAATATGTATAGGTATCAATATCATTTACTTTTCTTCCAAATAAAAATAACAATTACTAAATTACAATAGTGAGAGCCAGTTTGGTGTAGTGGTTAAAGGTGAGAGACTGTGAGGTCTAGTCCCATCTCAGGCACAAAGCCAGCTGGGTGATTTTGCATCAGTTATTTTATTTCAGCTCTAGGAAGAATGCAAGGACAAACTATTGTTGCCAAGAAAACTTCACCAGGGGTCAACACTGACTCAGATGATGATGGATTTACAATGTTCTGCTGTACATGATCTCCATCTAATGTTTTCCAATGTTGGCTACCTGATAAATGTTAAACTGTACAACTATCATTGTTACAGTTTTTCACGGTTGGTTATTAAACTATTTGGTTTTTTGGATATTGCCTATCCACCCTCCGGTCAAAGGGCATTTGACTAAAGAGCCATTTTTAGTCAATATAATACAGGAATTTGCTTTTGAAAAAATCTCAGTGAGCGTTTGGAAGTTTCTGAAGTATGTTTGAATCTTTTGTTTGGTTAAGAAGACAGAAGTCGTTGAAAAAACAGGAAGCAGTTGGCAATTTTATGGCCTTCAGTCTGGATAGGCTAACATTTACGTATGCATGATCATAATGGAATACACAATTCATGGAAACAGAAGTTTTCTTCAGTTTCAACCAGCCCTAAACATCATTGGTACCAAGAATATAAAAGCCTAAGCAAAGCGTTCGTACTGGGGATGGGAGGTACACAGAGGATAAAAGGCTTTACAAAGGGAGGGAGGAAGGAAGGGCATTTCTATCCTCCCTTCTCCCCAGACCCTTCAAAAAAAAATTTCACCGGGTTCCATGGGAGGTAAATTATGTAAACTAGCTTCAAGTATAATACCCATTTTCCCAGTTCTGGGCATATGTTGGGGTAATGGAATGGCTATGGTTCCCGTTGGACCAAGCCATTCCTAAAACTGATCCCAAACTTGATTAGAAAATATACCCCTTGGTGGTTCTAACTCCGGAACACTGTCAGTGGAGAAGAAAATGCTGAAGGAATTTCTACAGCAACTGAAAGGAATCTTTTTGAGGCTGGATCTTTCCTTCCACCCTCTAAAACGAAAGACTGGAGCCTTAAGAGTCTAAGCTCAGTTCAGCTAAGAATGAAATCAAAGCTTCAGGGTCTTCACAAGTGTATCTCATCTACATGTGACTTCCTGCGAAAGTTCTGGGACAAATCTTGTTTATAAGCACAATTAAAAAGTGACACTCCACAAACAATAAAGAAGTTGTAACAGGGGAAGCTTTTTTTGTAAATTATGGGTACAAAGGAAGCAATTTATTTTTAGGGATCTGAACCACAAATACAGATATTCACCTTTTTTTTTTCCCAAGAAACTCTTTTTGAGTAAGTAAACCTTTGCCTTCACTTCATATGTATGTGTGTGTGTGTGTGTGTATCTATATCTATATAGATAAAATCCTCTCTCACCCCTATGGGTGGTATGTGTCTTCCTCAATCTCAGGTCCTCTAACCACACACACACACACACACACACACACACACAGCATATGAACTAGAATACTGTTAATATGTTGTTGCCAGTGTTATATCACAACCAGTCTTTCTTTCTCTATTTAACAAAAGCTGTTTGTGTCCTCCTAGCAATGAGATATACTGTGTAACTAGGAGCAATATAAGCCACTATCCTGGTAAGGTATAATTACGAGTAATATTTTACCTAGCCTCCTAAGACATGAAAAGATTGTGGCTGTACATGAATATTGATTCTGAGAAGGGTTCTCTTGCAACCAGGGACCGGCAGGGATGTTCCCACAGATGAAATCCTCCCAAGCAGGGGGGAGGAGGGGGGAGAAAGCTCTTAATTATTGACTAAGGCATAATTAGGCAGAAGGAAGAAGCATCTCATTGCTCAAAGAGAAAAGCTGCAATCAATGAGACACACTAGTGAGACAATGCCCATTGCTACAGCAGGCATCTGAAAACAGCTCTCTGGGGCTAAAGAGACAACTTTACCATATTTGAAAATTGTGAGCTGTTGAACAAGTGCTTATTAACTTCCCTCTTTCAAAAAAAGGAGGAAGGAGGAAGGAAGGCAGGAAAGAAGAGGAGGGAGGAAAGGGTGAGAAAGAAGACATTATGGTCCTCATTTGAAAATCTCCGTAGACTAAGGAGCTACAAGACAGTAAGAATCATACTAAGCTGAAAAGATGCTATCATCTCATTCTCCCCTATCTCACCCTGTAAAGTTTGAGACTAGCAAGGCAGGAACCAGCAGTAAACACATCTCAGCCAACTCCCAAGGCCACCAAGAGATCAGTGAAGTACCTGTTATCTCAGAAAGGTGGGAATAAAACCCTAACATTTAAACTAAGCACATATATACCAAAAGGCACCAACTCTTCTGCACTGCAGTGGGCAATGAACCATTAGGCTCAAGGATTCGGTCCTGTCTGCAACAAAGATTCTAATCTAGTGGAGTCATGCCTGAGAGTCTTCTGCCCAGCCAGGCTAAGAGGCAGACTGTCTGGAGCAGTGTTTCTCAACTTGGCAACTTTAAGCTGTGTAGACTTCAACTTCCAGAATTCCCCAGCCAGCCATACTGGCTGGGGAATTCTGGGAGTTGAAGTCCACACATCT